CCCTGTCTGCCTGGTTCACTGAGGGCCAAAAGGTCATGCACCTGGCACCCAGTCCTTCTTCCAAAGCCAGGGCTGACCAAGAGCCCGTCTCTCATATCCCAAAAAAGGAGACAGACCTCTGGGACAGCCCAAAAAGGAAACTAAGAAAAGCAGAAGCCTTTTGGAGCTGCTAGTGAGAGGTAGAGAAGTGTGGTCAGTCTCTTATGACACAGTCACCCTGAATGGGGCACAATGAGGGGTGTATAATGATGGAGGCCAGGATGTCAGCTTCTAGCAGGCAACTCTAGGGTCGTCCATTCTCATGACTGCCCCCTGCAGGCTGAGCCTCACAGCCCACCTGGCCTGGTACTCCTCAAAGAGATGTGTGCAGCTTACTGTTTCCCCCAAGTGTAAAGAACCTCATCTTCAACCCGGAAAACTATCTGTTCTCAAAAGGAACCAGGGTTCCTGGAAGGGGAAGCTGTTCAGAGAAACCGTGTCTGCCCTGTCCACAATACGGGGCTTGAGTACAAGGGGGTTTCTTCTGCCAGAGAGAGCATGCAGAGAAAGGGCATGGTGGGCTCCTACCTGAGGAACCTCCTCATGATCAGGAGCTGGTGGGGAGCTTAGTGTGCCTGGACCCCACCACACTTCCCTTGAGGACCTGGGACAGGCTTGCCTGCCAATGTCTTTCTCCAGAAGGCAGCCCAAACAGTGACAAGTGGCCAAGCTCAGATATCAGCTCCTTCAAGAAACCTTACTGAAGTCAGTGATGCACACGCCTTTAGTTCCAGCACTAGGGAGGCAAAGACGGGTGGGTTTCTGTGAGCTAAGGCCAGCCTGGACTATACATAGCAAGTTCCAAGCCAGCCAGAGTCACACTGTGAGAGTCTGGAGAGGGAGAGGGACAGGGACAGGGAGAGAGGAGAGACCATGCTGGACCCCTGGCCAAAGCTGATTCAACACTGTCAAGCAGGTGCTCCTCTTACCCCTTCCCGTCCAGCCAACTCCTGTCTCCGCCATCTCAGCTTTACCACCTCACCCAGAGAGCCGGCTGACCAGCAGACTCCCTTAGCCCCAGAGAGCCAGCTGACCAGCAGACTCCCTTAGCCCCAGAGAGCCGGCTGACCAGCAGACCCCTTAGCCCCAGAGAGCCGGCTGACTAGCAGACTCCCTTAGCCCCAGAGAGCCGGCTGACCAGCAGACCCCTTAGCCCCAGAGAGCCGGCTGACTAGCAGACTCCCTTAAACCCAGAGAGCCGGCTGACTTGCAGACTCCCTTAGCCCCCATCCTCTGTTGTAGGTCCTGTCACATTCCTTCAGCGCACATACTGGCTTATTTGTCCAGTCTTCCCATCTACAAGGACACCAACTCATTTAATTTCCCTGCTGAACCCTCAAGCCCAATCCTAGAACCCGCACAAAGCCGGACTCAGAAAGAACCTGTCGAATGGGTATCCACTCTTGAGGCGTAAGTCAACAGGCCATTCCCTGAAACTGACCCTTGACTTTCAGCCCATGACAGGAAAGAGAAGGACACAAGACTCAAGGATTTCCCCGTGTTTTAGTTACTTAACACCAAGACCTGAATGGGTCACTGAAGTCTCTGCTCCACCCTCCTCGCCCTAAGAAAAAGGAATCTGGAGGTATTATGGGCCAGCAGTGAAGGAAATACCACCTCTGACTTCGTTGGACATCTGAGGAAACTGGGGTTCAGAAAAAGGCAAGAATGCACCCAAAGTCACAGCAAATGAAGCCAGAACAAGAGGCCAGAACCAGGCTCCTGACTTCCCACCTATTTCTACCCAAGGTACAAGAGTCAACTTGGGTCTGTGCCACCACCTACCTGCAGCCCACCCCCAACACCTGCTTTCAGAATCTTTAATGTTCAGCACAGATCCCTAACAACACTTGGCAGGGAGCTTCTGGGGGACATCACCAAGCACCTATTCCAACTTAGGAAACCCCCTTTCCTCTTGGGGATTGCCCCCCCAGTTCTGCAGGGGGGTTCACCTTGAAGGTAATGAACTCATCTAAGTCCCCGAGGGGGCAGGGATTTCCACTGGAAATGCTGATGCTTGGAGAGCCCCAGCTGTGACCTCATCCCCTGGAGGAGGTGATAACAACCCCCCTACCCTGGGGAGCAGCCCCTTAATGGCTATCCAACAGCTCCCAAGTCAACAATAACATCCTGTTGTTTAATTGGGCCAGAGGGGAAAGAACCAGCTGGGCAGGTAGAGACTGGAGACTGGACTGTTTGCCTTCTGTGGACAGACTAGCTTACACTGACACGGGGGTCAGGATCTATCTCCACCGGTTTCTCCGCCTCCAACCGCTGGTGGAGCAGGGGAGGAGTACATAGCATACACAGGCATGCAAACCTACCACACTCCACCCTCAGCTGCCAACCACTCATCTCCTGCCCCCTGCTTGAAGGAAGATCAGAGTCACACATCTACATTAACTGACTCATGTGCTAGTGATATCTTATGGGGACAACCTCTAGAGCTCTTCCTGCTCTGGCAACCTCTGGGGGTCAAAGACAGGTGCAGAGCTCAAGGATACCCAGCAGGCTGTGATGGAACACACATCCCCTGATCCAAGCTGTTCTGCACCAGGCCTTCATCTGGTTGCTAAAGCAGCAACTCTCTTAACAATTGCACTCCGGGATGCTCTCAGAGTCCCCTGCTTTAATGTTTCCCTAAGGCTTGAGGGGCAGAGGGGTCCAAGCAAAGAAAATAAAGACATGTCTATACCTATCCTAATCTTTATTCCGTCTTGACTCAAAACTAAAATCTAAATCTATGTCTAGTAGAGAAATGGCTATAGGGCTACCACCATCCCTAGTCATCTCTGAAAGTTCTTGTCCCATCCTCTGGCAGACAGGGCCCTAGGCTTATTGTAAAGCCTGGAAGGGTCTCCCTCTCTCACTCTATGCCTAGGTTGGCCCTATCCAAACTCCCTACTACCCGACTGCCATGTGTTACCCCATAGGAGGCAGGAGGCAGCTGTCAGCCGGGCACACTATCACCAGCTGGTGGCCCTAGGGGGTGGGGGGCAGGTGAATGGCAGGGCCTGTCTGGTCAGTGGGGCACCTGGCACTTGTGAAGGAGATTGCAGACTGTCCTTGGACAAGATTGGTGAGTGTCTGGTGGATCCCAGCCAGAGGGGGTCAATAGTGCATTACCAGTGTGGCCACAGCAGTGAAATGCAAGCAAGGGAAGCTGGGCATAGAGATGGGCTGGGAGCTTGAAACCTGGGTAAGAGGACTGAAAGCAGCTTTAAATAGCCTCAGGGTGAGTAAGGACTAAGTGCCAGGGACAGACGAGTATGCATTAAGTGCTAACAAGTGGGTGTGCATTAAGTATGCGGTGGGGAGGTCAAGGAAGGACTGGGGGGCTGGGGAGACAGGCACAATCAGATGAAAGGAGTTTGATATAGAGCGAGATTCCAGAACACTCAAGACATAACCATTTGTCTTCTCTGGAATACTCCTGTACTGTGCTGCCCAAGACACAAGAGGACAAAGACGAGGGAAAATGCTGGCAGGGCAGAGGAAAAGAGGCTGGAGTGGGCACAAGTGTGGAGTGTGCGGGTGTCCACCATGAATGGCAGGTCTCGAGCTCCAGCTAAGCTGTTCCTCTCCCGCCGGGCACACCTTCCGCTGGATGGCGAGTTGGAGACCAGAGTACCTCATTTATCGCTGGAGAACCATCTAAATCCTTCTCCTCTCCCTAACCCTGGACCAGGACAAATCAGGATCAGATCAGAGCCCCCACCTGCTCAGTGAGCGCCCACACTGCCCAGTGACCTTGGGCAAGTCACATTCTCTCGGCTGCTGCGGCAGTTCGGGCCACTCATTTTATGTGGGTTCCCCCCCTCCCCTACTAAGAATACCTGCCCCAGATAAAGCTCAGACTTCCGCAATCCCTGCAAACTGCCAAGGCATCAAAGGGTTCCCAGTAGGGACGGACAGGACCAGTACCCCCAGCCCCCGGTGTGAATCTCCCGTCACCACTAGGGGAGGGGCTGCAGAGACGCCAAATTTGGGTACAGAGCTGAGTTTGCCTGGGGGCGGGGAAGCATTTGTGTGCAATGCAGGGGAGGGGAGCTCCGTCCCTAGCGGCAGAAAGCCTCCAACCCCAACCTAGCCAGCTGTCTGTCCCACTGTACAGGGGTCTAAACTGAAATGCCCCAGGGGAAGACTCCAGTCCCCCAGGTTCTCATATTCATCACAGTCCTAAGGCTGCACACCCCTCCCCAGATATGCCGCTTGGGGGTCCCAATGGCCTCACCCCACCCAATGGGCACTATTCCCCCTCCTTGTGCTAGCGCCAATTTCTGGTGACAACTGCCACGTGCGGGCAAGGGGGGGAGCGACTGGTCCCAGCATTAGGGAGACAGCGCCCAGGTGTCCCGAGCCCCAGCACTGCACCTTGTCCCGGATCGCCGCAGGGTGCCCACCCCCTTGCCTGGCCCGCGCTCTGGGCCGGGGCGGGGGCGGGGGCAGGCGGCGGGGTCTTTGTTCCCGCAGCCCGAGCGCAGCGGCGGCGGCAATGGGTCCGCGCCCCCTTCACCAACCCAGTCTGAGCCCCGCGTGCCAGCAGAGCCCGCAGCTCGCAAGGAGGGAGTCAGGGTGAGGAAGCTGGCCGGGGGAAGGAAGGGTCCTGCATAGTAGACCCCGCGGGGGAGAGCCAAAGAGCCTCGGCGAGGCAGGGGCCCGCAACCTCCCCGCCTGCGCTCAAGCTCTGCGGCTCGGGCTCCGAGCTGCCTTTGGACTTGGAGCGCCACTTAGCCGGGCCCGGGCCCCTGCCGCTCGCTCGCACGCTGTACCGCTCCAGCCCTCTCCAGCGTGACAGTATGCACACTCACATACACTCACCCGGACCCACACGCTCCCTTCGGGGCCAGCCCGAGACCTGCAGAGCTGCGCACACGCACTCTCTCTGGGTGCCGCACACTCCGCACCCTCCCCGCACAGCGTCCGATCCCGCGCCCCGCCGGCCGTGCGGCGCCGCCTACCTTTCCAGACGGCGGAGATGCGGGGTCCGCTCCTCGAGTGGCCTTGGGCGGAGGCGGCGGCCACCCAGAACAGCAGCAGCAGTAGCAGCCGCAGCGGGAGCCCGAACCGAGCCGGCGGGCTGAGGACGCGGGCGCGCGGTGCGCTGGGGGCGGCACGTCCGGGAGGAGGAGGCGTCATCCCGCAGCCCCGGAGCGACAGCGGCAAGCAGCCGAGACTGAGCCAGCGCCCGGCCGCAGGCAGAACCTAGCGCCAGGAGGCGGAGTCAAGCGCCTGACCCCACCCCACCCCTCCCCCCCCGCCCCTCACAGCGTTTTCTAGCTTTGCCCGTGGCCCCTAGCTTGTTCGGTGTCCGCGGCTAGGAGAATCTTCGCCACCCGCTTTCACGCAACTCCACCGGGAGAAACCAGCTGCGAAGAAGACAGACTTGTGATCTGTCATGAGGAGCAGGCCCCATCCCTCCTCTGAGATTCCGTTCCACTTCCCTTGCCCCAGTGGACGGAAAGGCCTAGGGAATCTGTAAGGACCTCTCGGTGCATGGATGAGTGTAACATTGGGACAACCTGGTTGCAGCTAGCTAAGTGGTTTGAGAGGCATTCTCAGAGAATGGGCTTGCCCGAGTGGGACCCAGCTCTCTGCTGATCCTATCAGCCCGGAGCAAGATGCTTTCCTCTGAGGAGAAGACAGAGGAGGTCGATGATGTGTGAGGTGCCCACAACTCCCCACTATTGCTCTGCCTGAAAGAACACTGGGAATTTTTCATCTTGGCCTGACTCCCTCCTCTCCCTCTCCTTTCTCCTCCCTTCCCCAGCCAGCAGCCTTCTGGGCTGCCTCCCCCCAGCCAGCTGGTGTATGCTCAGAAAATCCTAACTCATTTCCATGTGAGCTGAGGGGGATATAATTAGGAAGGCCCCTTCCCCAAGAAGAACGCGAGGGGCACATCTTGCATGCCCACGACTCACAGGCAGGGCAAAGTCAGACCAGTTGGAGGGATCTCTTTCTCTGCCTAAGGCTCAGTTACCTACCAAGGGCAACCTGATGACTCGGTCGGTGGTGGCTCCCTCAGAGGGTCCAAGTCCCAGTCCTTCTGCAGTCACCTGAACAGCCCCGGGAACTGTCATTAGCTTATGGTCTTGGAGGCACTTTGCCTTTTGTAGAAGAGTCTCCTGTTTTCCTTGGACCAGAGATAGTTCAGACTCCCCACTCTGCTTGTATCCTAGGGAGCCATGACTGAAATCTGTGAAATCCATGCAGCTCAGCAGGTTCTTATCCGGTGCTTACTGTATATGTAGTCTAAGGTGTCCTGCACCAAGAAGATACAGGGTGAGGAAGAGGGAACAAAAGTAAACAAAGACTCGACCTTCAGAACCCACAGACCTAGACATACTGAGTATGCTGCAGACACTGGCAAAGACACTGGGCAGGGTGCCCTGACCTTGGAGCCAGCCCTCTTCACTGCCCCATTGCCAGGAAGGTTTTGATAACATGAATCTTAGCCCTGTCAATTGCACATTTTGCTTCTAGCTGTTCTCTCCATTTCTAAAAGCCCCCAAATACCCATAAGATGAATTCCCCCAGCTCTCCAGCACTGTTATGTGTGGAGGGGTCTGGAGACACTGAAGAGTTAGGTTCCTTACACTATACATGGAACCACTAGCTTCATGATGCCCAGGGTCACACATCCAGATAGAAGACAGCTGTAGACAGCCCAAGAATTCCTTCACAGGCCTCCACTGAATCTTGGGGCCATCAAGCTGGGAACCTGACCAGCCCACCGTAGCTTCTAAGAATGGCACTTGCTTTCTAGCCCAAGGACTCATTTGCTGGACAAATATTGCCTCCAGTGTCTTCATTTGTGTAAATGATCAAGGCAGGGATCACCTATCCCTGCCTTCAAGAACCAAGAATTCAAGTGCATCAGAAATGAAAACATTACCCATGTGCACAGTAACTCATAAAATGCAACTCACTTCCAGCTACATCACTCCTGCAAGATCTACATTTTTTCCCTCTGAGTAAGGAAACGTAACTCCATCTTAGGGAAGAAACTGAGGCATACAGGACACAGGGATCTCTCTGAGCTCAAATGGAAATGTGTGAGTCAAGACAGGAAGACTGCCTCATTTTAACTCAGTCTTCATCATCCTAGGAGCCAGGTACTTACCTCTCTCTCTCTCTCTCTCTCTCTCTCTCTCTCTCTCTCTCTCTCTCTCTCTCTCTCTCTGCAAGAAAATTAAGGCACAGAAAAAGGATGCAATATACCTAAGCTTGCTCAGGTATATACAGAGCTGGAACTTTAACGCAGGTGGTCTCTCTAGAGCCAACACCTTAGCTTCCATCAATATAATGTGCCCTTGGACTGCTGCCTCTGGTACACGGCTGCAGTCTGGATCCAAAGAATCCTCAGAAGGACCCAGACGAGACTAGGTTACCACACGCTGTGCAGAAGGGCAGGCCAGGGGCCAGACTCAGCCTCCTAAGCAAAAGGGAACAGATGGAAAGTAGGGGTAGAAGCCAGAGAGTCTTCTTTCCAGGATGCATGCTGTAGTGTGAAGTAGTGGTACTAAAAGCCATCTTCTCTCCAAGACAGGCCCTGGGGACAAAGGGCCAGGCCAGATGGCAACCCACTCCTAGGTTCATGATTTGAAACTACAGTTCTATGGAGGGAAAAGCAACTGAAGGGAACATGTACCTGACTCAAGTAACACTGGGAAATCAAATCAAAATAGCATAGCTAGTGATGGGCCTGCCTGTCTTATTAGAGTCCAAAGCTGACCCTAGAGCCTGAACCAAGGCATAAACCAGTATGACCAATATGAGTATGACCAGTAATGGGAAATGGGCCAGAAGAAGAAGCAACAGATGCAGATGGTGACAAGTCTGAAGGAGAGACATCCCTGAGTTTCCCCTCCCATGACTCCAGAATTGGAAGAGCAAGCTACAAGGCTAATAGAAGAAATGATGCAGGCTGCACCGCGTGGGCAGAGGAGTTGCAGCCAAATCCAAGAAGTACCCTTGAGGAATCAGCGGATCAGGACACATGCAGATTGGAGCTTCACGACAGAAACAGCAAGGTCCTGGGAGTCCATCCCAATATCCCAACAGAGCCTCTTACCATTCAGGGTCAAACACAGTCTGCCTCTCCATTCCCAAACTTTCATCTCCCTGACTCTATGACTGGACACAGTCTTGCAGGAATGACCTACCCCAACAAGAGGCCTATGGGAAGTGTAAGGATTCTGTGAGGAGCTATGACATGCATACATACTGACCACCATAAACCATTCATTTTCACAAGGCTATGGTGGTACATGCCTTTAATCCCAGCACTCAGGAGTCAGAGACATTCAGATCTCTGTGAGTTCGAGGCCAGCCTGGTCTAGAGACAAATGCCAGGATAGGCCCCAAAGCTACAAAGAGAAACCCTGTCTTGAAAAAAACAAAATAAATAAATAAACTGCTCATTTTCATGGATACAATAATCTAAGAATTGAAATTCTTGGGATTATTAGTAACTGCAGTTCTTTGAGTAACCTCCTCATGCAGGAACCCATCCCTGCCATTAGGTCTCCGCCCAAGCATGCTACTAACAACAGGAACTATTGGTTCAGCTTCATGACCCCCTTATCGTCAGAGGCAAGCAGACCAGGCAGGTCGCCCATGTCTGAGTGGGCTCGGCCTGCGGAATGATGTGTACAGGACAGCTGCTACCCAGCCGCGGACCATGGGGCCACAGAAAAGTCAGCAGAGAGGTGGTGCTCTGGTTATGTTCACGTGGAGTTGAAACTTAAGTCTTTGTTCAAACTCTGTGGTTTAAAGGTATCATCAAATCAAAGTATCCCCAAATAATTCAAAAAAGTTAACAAGAACACATAAGGTCAAATGAAAACAGGTTTTAGGAGCTAAAGAGGTGACTTAATGGTTAAGAGCACTGGCTGCTCTTCCCGAGGTCCCACATGGGTGTCGACATGTGGCACACACCTGGCTGTAAACTCCAGTTCCCGGGGATCGGACAGCACTGTGCACAGACATGTGAACAAGCAAAACCACACAGAATAGCAAATAAATAAATAAATAAATAAATGAAATTTAAAGTTTGAAGGGAAAAAAAACAGGTTTAGGCCCCATCTAGACCTCCAGCACACCATGTCTGTCCCTGTCTCAGGAGCATGACATAACAGCTTTAGTTACCATTGCCCATGTCACATGCTTAGGAGACTGAGCCTCGGTGAGCCTGGAAAGCGGTGTAGAGGAGCCCTCTTTAGGCTCTACAGATCCCAGGACCCTATCTCACTCTCCCCACCTCCAAACCCCCACCAGGTTGTTCTCAAGCTCCTGCTTCCTCTACCTAAGCCAGGTCAGAGCCTGACAGCTGCCAAGTGTGAATGAAAGACTTCAAAGTCACCATGCCTACTTAGCCCCTCTGGTGTACACTGCCCAATGCCACCCTTTATCTGCGTCTGTCATCGTAGGTGCGCTTTCATTTAACCCTACCCTAAATGGTTAAAAAAAACACAAGTCTGGCTAGCCACGTTAAATAAGACCATAATGTAAAAATCCAGAGGACAGGGAACTGGCAGAGAAGAGCTCGACTCTCTCACCTTCGATTAAGACAGTTCACCTCCAATATGACAGGGTGAGACAGCGCAGCATCCTTAGATGGCACTGAGCTTGCGGTAGGAGCGCCACCTGGTGTCTACACTAGAACAGACACGTCTTAGGGACTGAGGACAAAAACTCCCAAACCTCTCAGGAGAAAAGCCCATCCCTCCAGCCCATTCCTATGCCACAAACCCATTTCTGAGCCTCCATTCTTGGCCTCTAGGGCCTGGAGCCAACACAATCACATGAAGTCACATGGAACCCATCAAATCTAACATCTCCTGACTAGAGACTAGATGGGGCTGTGTCAGCCTGGCTGCTAAGTTAGTAAGCAATGTCCTGTCCTAGACCAACCCTCTGATTCCCTTCTCCTCCTTCTTATTCTCTTCTTCTTCCTCCTCTTCTTCCCTTTCCTCCTTCCCCCCTCTTCTTTTTGGCAGGGTCTTACTCTCTTATAGTCCAGGCTGACCTCAAACTTGCAGCAATCCTCCTGCCCCGGCCTCTTAAGTACTGGGGTCACAGGTGTGAGGCACCATGCTTTCTTGATTTACAGAATGAAAAGGAAGAGCTAAAGTGGCTGCTTTCCTGACCTTGCTTCTCTCTGGATCAAGACAAA